TGCGTGGATATGGCCACCCCCCCTAAAATGAATATAGGTACACCCCTGTTTGTTTGTTGTGTGAATGATTTATTTACAACATTTCCTTGCTCTCACCATGGTCACTGTTAACTTCGTCCAGTGAATAAGAGTCTATTTTGGATCACATAGGCTAGTTACTGGTTGACGCTAAAAATTAGCCTAAACTGACTAGAGTTGGTGGCTAAAGCCGATTTATTGTGAGAGAAAAACACTACACCATGGCTGACAAGCCAGGTTGGTAAGTTCAAGTGAACAGGGCAAATAACTAGTTAGAACTGATTTTAGTTAATTTTTAGCTAGCCAGTAATGAGTCCTACCAAACAGGCTCTAAGTACCAATGGGTAATGCCTTCGCCTTAGGTGAGTAAGTATCACTTGGTATTTTTTACAGAGATCAGTTACAAGTGTTTCAAGAGGGTGACATGGTTGAAAGAGGTGATCTTCTAAAATATATTGAAGGCTTGAAGAAGGCCATACTTTTTGCAATGGTGTCCTTAGTTTTTTTTTTGCAATGGTGTTGCGGGTTCCCTTTCTTTTTCTCCTGAAGTGGAAGAAAACATATATGCTGCCACTTCTTTGAAACGTAAAGGAAACATTTGCACGAGCATGGCTATGAACTACTCCCTCCATCTCTTTTTAGTGTGTCTACGTCAAACTTTCTTAAATTTAACTAGATTTATAAAAAATATTAGTAATATTTGTATTCTAAATAAGTGTATTATAAAAATATACTCAATGATTAATCTAATTATACTTATTACGTACCATAATATTATATTAACAATCTCTTGTACATATTTAGTCAAAATTGAATACTTTTGATTTCTATATATATTTCTCGATATATGAGAACGACAATTAGAAAGCGACGAGGGGAGCATACATGAGCCGTTCCTACCGGTTAGTTTTATTTTATTCTCCAAAAAATGATATAGATGGGGTGTGGGTGGGGTAGTGGGGGCGGTGGGGAGGGGGGTCAAACAAGTCTAAGGCCAATATAGTTTTTTTCTTCATAATTTCATAGGTTTTGTGAACCATCCATAGCATTTAAATGATATGTGGTGTGAAGTTTAACTTAGTTTCCAATACAATGAATAATGAAATGAAATGCTTAATATGGAGTTTTACTTGGTTTTCCAATGCATTGGTGACAATGTACACTGGTTTCAACTAGATGAAACTTATATACTCTCTCTTATGTAACTTCTATGTGATGTCATCACCGGTATCGATGTGTCATCCTATTAAATGGAAATTAAATGGAAATGAAACAACGTAGGGATAAAAGTGGCACAGATAATTCTCTGATCCAAATATGATATTTAATGATAGGGATAAGAGTTTTTTTATATCCGTGCGATACAAATAATTCAAATTCGGGCTGTGTGTTGATGCTAGGTAGGTGGGTAGGACATCAAATCGACAAAATCTGATAGAGATGGAGTAGACTTATAATAGGATAATATGAATTACTTTATTGACTCCAAATGCCCAACGTTTCAATCCATCCTATCCAACTCACACAAGCATATTTTGTAGCCCGTAGAGCCTCTCTCTCATAGCTCGTGTGTCTCGCCAACGAGTTTGTTAAGGTGAGTATTTCATGTCATGTTATTGCTTTCATGACTTTAGTTAGTGAATTGTTCCCTATTATTAAAACTACGCGTAAGCACATACTCCCTTCATTTCAAATTGCAAGACGTTTTAGTTTTTTTAAACACATAGTTTTTGATAACATCTACAATTTGAAATGGAGGAAGTACTATTCAACTATTCAAATTCGCTTCCATTTCGACACCTATTCCACACTATCTATGACATCTAAAAATTCTACATTCACATCCGTCGAAATTTTCTCCAACCATTGAAAAAATTTTTCTCTAGATGCATAATAAAATGGATAAAAAAAATCAAAGCGACTTATAATTTAAAACCGATGTAAATGAAACATTACCCGCTCTGCTCGGACCTGGTTTCACCATACGACGGCTGAAAGTCGTGTTGCGTGCATCTGAACATGACAAAGAAATCCTCGCTCTCTTCTCATCAGAAGTCAGATACGAGTGCTCCTATTTCCAAGCTCCAATCGACCATTCTCAACGGCTACTGCCCCAGACACAGGCCACACAGCCAGCCTGGCTCTCGTCTCCACGCACACCCGCTCGTGCTAAAAAACAAACCGCACATTTCACAAAGGGCCTTTGTACAAATGTGCCCTCCTCGAACTGCAACTACCTTTTTTTTAGGGTTATTTGATCACGCCATTATAATTTTTAAACTTTGGAGATATGTCATTATAATTCACCTATTCTGAAACTTGCCATTACAATTCTTCTTCTACTTGATACTTGCCATTTTTTATGTCTTCTGGGTGTCTGGGCCCACTGTCAGGCCGTATACGTGTATAAATCTTCCGTATGGACCAAAACACCCCGCTGCTTCTCTCCCTCCACTCACTGACATGTGGGCCCCACACGTCAAATTCTCCTTCAACCTTTAGCCGTCCTGGAAGGATGACATCCGGCGAGATGGGAGGGGCGGGAGGACACTTTGAGCCTGACCTCCCGCGTGGGAGCTCCGTCCAGGTCATGGCCGGACTTGAGCACGAGCTTGAAGCGCGCGAGGCGGGCGTCGTCGTCTTCACCGAACAGCGTGATGGGCTCGCGCAGCACGCGAAGGCGCCGCACCACCTCGTGCCGTGGGAGGTCGAGCTCGTCTATGCGACGCTCCTCGGAGAGCAGCGCCTCCTCCTGCGTGGTCTTCTTCGGCGCTAGGGCGGGCGGGACAGAGGGCGCCGATGAGGCGGAGGAGATAGGGTTAGGGTTCGTCGCCGCTGCCTAAGCTGCGGCGTCAGGGTTGCTGGTGTCGGAACCGGTGGCGTCTGCGGCGAAATCCGCGGAGGGCGCCAACGCGCTGGCCTTGGCGAGGAGCTGGCGGTGCTCGTCACGGCGCTTCTGGAGCTGCTTCTGCTCCAGCTCCGATCACCGCACGAAGCTTTTGCCCCCGAAGTCGGCCGTCGCCGCCTTCCGCTTCTTCTCCAGTTCCCGCTTCAGCAGGTCCATTACGCCCGCCGCCCGGCCCAACTCGGCTTCGATTCTCCGAGAGGCAGTGCGCCGTGCCGGTGCTGCGAATATCGTCCGTGTCCGTGTATTTGACCGTTCCCCCAAATAGAAGAGGACTCCGACTTGACTGGGTCATGTCGATGTCCCTGTGGATACCGGTTGAAGGAGAATCTGACGTGTGGGGCCCACACGTCAGTGAGTGGAGGGAGAGAAGTAACCAGGGGTGTTTTGGTCCATACGGAAGATGTGTATACGTATATGGTCTAACAGTGGGCCCAGACACCTAGAAGACGTAGAAAATGGCAAGTATTAGATAGAAAAAGAATTGTAATAGCAAGTTTCAGAATAGATGAATTGTAATGGCAGATGTCCAAAGTTTAAGAATTATAATAGCGTGGATCAAATACCTTTTTTTTTACTACCCAATTTTTCCCTTCAAAGGGACGAAAAGCGCATGTAAAAACGAGAGGGGAAAAAAAATCGGAATCCAAGCACACGGCACGAACAAAAGAGAAGGGGAGGGCAGAGACAGGAGGGGAGCGCGAGGGGGAGGGGCATGGGCACTCTCGTCCCGGCAGTCCCGTCTCAAGCAAAAGCTCTCCCCTCTTCTTCCGCCGCCCAGGTGAGTCTCCAGCCCCATCTGATGTGCCGAGGATCGGGCATTGGGCGTGGCAAACGGCGATGCGCGTCCCTGGGTCTGGCGCTCCTTTTCCTGGGTCGGTTTTGGGTGCGGATTTCGTCTGATTTGGGGGCGGGGGGGGGGGGCGGGGGGGCGTGGCGGTTGTGGCCTTGTGGGATTGGTGGACGTCTTCCTGAGTTTGGGGTCGCATTTTGCTGGATTTCGGTGGGGCCCGACGCCCGAGCTTTGCTTGATCCTCTCTGTTTCGCCTCCCGTCTGGGCTATGCTTGATTTGCGCGGTTTTTTGTGCTTGCCAAGGGAGAAGCTAAAGTAGTCTTTGGTGCTGGTTGCTGCATTTTTCTATATATCAATCTGTGCTGAAATTTGGGGCCTTGGGGGGAGTGTTGGGGCTTCTGGGCCAATCCATGTGTATCTTCAGAGGCGCTGCTTGTATTTGCGACAAATTATATGGTGTTGTAAAAGTGTTATATCAATCTTACTTATTTGTTATTTTCCCCTTTCTGGTTCTGTTTAGGTAAACTGTGTTCAATAAGGCGATTACCCATGCTTTCATATTGTTCTTTGTTATGTGGAGTGAATACTCTTTACTTCCCTATTAGTCCACTGCATAGAGTGCGATCAGGTTGCCCATTTGATTTGAGACTGTTCCTATTTTTGAATCAGTTCATGGTTATACATTTTGAGATAATAATGTCAATTTGTTTGAGAATTTTTTCAATTAATATGTTGAAGGATTTCTAGCAACTTCACAATGATATACCTAATATTGTTCAATGGCTAGAGATTTAGGTCAGTAAATGGTAGATGTTATCGGTTGTCAAGTTTGGTGTCACAGTCTTGACTAGTAATGTATCTGTGGTATCAATGACAACGGCAACTACCACCAGATAGAGTAATGACTGACAGCATAAGAATATAGTGGGTGTCCGACTGACCTTATCATATCAGCGAGATTATTTATTGCATTAATCACTGGATTTCATAAATTGTGCTGATGATGCTTATTTTGAATCTTCACACGGAGACTTCTGTATATCTTTGTTCTTGCCTCGACTACTTGCATGTGCTAGCGCTTTGTTGGATCAGTGCCACTAACATTGCTTTAAATTCTGGCAATTGTGATGTTAAGTTTCTCGGTTGAGTGATCGTACCCATCGCCCTTTTGTTCTAACTTAAGTTTTAAGCAGAAGCGACTTTTACTTCTATATATAGTGTACTAATCACTGCAACATACTGGCCTTAGGTCATTGAGTTAGCGAAAGGGAAGGAGGGAGTATCATGGGTATCTCATCCAAGTGGATTAAATCCTTGGTTGGCATAAGGAAGCAAGAAAAAGGGCAGAATGCAGAAAAGCAAGAAAAAGGACGAAATGCTGAGAGCAGTGAAACTGTAAGTCATGGCATTCCACCTAGGTTTATTCTTTAGTGCAGATTTCATATCCAGGGGTGTGGGCGTCCCCATTAGTGAATTATTCACGTTGCCATGTTCAAAAAATACATATACACCTGAAGTTCAGTATAGCTGCTACAGTTCAGTTTTGTGATGATATTTTAAAACATTACAACTCGTTGGGTTAACTATAATTTGGCTAAATGTGATGCCTGAACCCCAGGACATCAATGATGCACAATACTTTTATCTAAGTATTTTTCTTATTCCCTGTTTTCGTGAGCACAACTTGGAGAGCTGCAATTGTTCTTGTTCTTTGTCTTTCTCTGTGAGAAAATGACAAACCTTGAAGAATAGAAAAACTGCAAAAGAATAGAAGGTTTACCAAAACTTGTTCATCGGATGCCACATAGCTTCTGTTGTTGGCATGTCTTCATCACAAGCCTGTTCATCAATCAATACGCTTCACTTTCAGTAGACAGTAGTACACATAAAGACAACTAGTGTATTCCATTACGTTTGGTACCAAGAATACATGATTGCATGAAACATGACGATTACTGAGAAATATTGTTGACATTACATGGCTAATGCCAGCAACCCTGCATATTAAATGTGCACTGATGTAGCAACCCTGCAGTATCAGTTACGACACTTCTATGCCCTCTGGTCTAACCTACTGAAGAGAAGAAAAGACAAAAAGCATGCTGAAACAAAGTTGTGGTTGTGCACTTAATGGCATCTTTCTGATTTAATTTCTAGTTGGCCTGTTAGCGATGGATGGATGATAGATTTGTGCACAATTAGACTATTGAACTGTCCTTACTCCAGGGAATCTTTTTTTAAGATGATCTGTTTGGTCCTTTAGGCAATGAAATCTGAATATAACTAAACTGAAGTTCCTACCTGAAAATCAGTTAGCTACTTGCCTAGTTCGGTTATAGCTATCTGAAACTTTAACAGTTCTAAACCTTTCCATGCACACATTCATTTTTTTTTTAAAAAAAGGTAGATCAACCAAGGAGGAAATAGGTGGCATTTTATTAAGAAGAAAATAGGCACCCAAATTCGTCTCGACGAGGACTCGTACCCGCTGAGCTAGCTCAGCTTCCTTTGCACACATTTCTGACTGTTTACTTCAAATAGTTCCGTATAATTGAATGACATACATACTATTGTAGCCTCTGTCATGAACTATATGTAGTTTGTCCATATGTGACTTGTATATATTATGGATTTACAATTTTCGATTTTTTACATCTGTCATATGTTCCTGCAATCCAACTTGACTTGCGGATTATCACCATTCTACTTAACCTATCATATCCTCTTTTCACCGTGAAAATGAATTATAAATGTTGTAGACGAGCTGTGCTAATCAATCGCTGCACAAACGGAAACATTCTTTGGATCCTGGAGGTGCACTTGCAGTCGAAGAAATTACAGTACAAAGTGGAGCATTGACTGATGACAAAAGCAAACAGACAATTTCAAATTCAATTTGTTCAGACAGTACATCACTTGATGTGCAAATTTCTCAGGCTGAACATCATAGTAAAGAAGATTTGGCCGCAACTGTTGTCCAGTCTGCGTTTCGAGCATTCTTGGTATGTTATCTTTTCAAAACATTCTGTACCTACTGATATACACTAAGTATAGTATATATTGATTATGATTGTATTGATTTTTTCATTGATTTATCCAAATAAGCAACTTGGAAACTTTCAGCTAGTGTGGTCGATATGAAATCAAATGATGCAAGAAAAAGGAGAACTTTTTAGGGAGTTCTACCATTTTGGAATACTAGGAAGTCCTATTATTCTTCAATGGTCAAGAAAGCATAAACACTATGATACTGACTACTGAGGCTTCTTTTCCTAGCTTAACAGTATTCAGATGCAAGTTTTGTCATTTTAGTAAAGCACTGGTTAAAGAATCAACAACTTTAGTTAGATATTTTAGTCCATGATTTTGTTTCGCTTCTGGTTTTGGATTTCTGATTTTTTTGTTCATATCTACCAGGCTAGGCGTGCTTTACGAGCTTTGAAAGGAATAGTTCTACTTCAAGCCCTTATTAGGGGTCATTCTGTTAGAAGGCAAACAGCAGAGACACTTCAATGTATGCAAGCGCTGGTAAAAGCACAAGCTCGTGTCCGAGCAAGACAAGTTCGTGTTGCCTTAGAAAATCAAGTGGCAAGGAAAAAGATTCCTGAACAAGATGATCATGAGAACCATGTCCGAGAAGTTGAGGTAGGAAACATAGTCTCGAAGTCATTATGCTGCCAGATGTCTCACTTGTTCCATATTTTTGCATTATTTCCTTAGCCATACCTTTTTTTCCTCAATAAGGAGGGACACATTGCACAAAGGGAGGGAGGGGGGGGCATGAATCTTCTTTGATCCTTTGTTGTGTGTGTGTATTGTTTTTTTATCCGTGTACACTTTATGTTTCACAGATTTCTGCTTTTATTCTTCATTATCTAATTCTGACATTTTTCACCTTGGCCTACAGTGGCCCTGAGGTGATGTAATGTCTTTTTCTCGATCACGCAGAAGATGAAAAAATAGGGGAGAGAGACCCTACAAAAACAGAACCACCTACTCACATAAAATCACCCAACACACATTCACACACCCACCCAAGGGGAAAACAATAGAAAACAGAAAACAGAAATGCCTAAAAACCAAGGGGAGTGACCTCAAGAAAAAGGGTTTAGACACCACCAAGCAAATGGGCAGTCAACAAGGTGATGCCTTTTTCTTCAGCTATACCCCAGAGCCTCATTTCCTCAACGACCAAGGTGAGTTGATGCACAATGTCAGTTGGATGGGGTTGTGGAGGGTAATTTATAGTAGTGGGGTAGGTGGATTAGGGTCAGGTAGTATTTTCTTATGAGTTGACTTGCTCATAACCTCTGCTTGCTAACCCATGGGGATGCACGGCATTGCAATTGCAATTAAGGTCGAGAAAGGCACTGAACACCAGCTGCCCAGGACACAATTGTGTATATCTTTGAAAGCAGTTTACTCAGTGAGAGACCTTTTTTGTGTGTGGGAACAAGGGTTCGATCCCTGGCCAGCAGCACTACAACTGGGTGGCTTACCACCTTGTTTGTGTGATTTCAGTAGAATATTTGTATGATGTTTTTTGAGCCAGTTTTGATATATTTCCATACGTTGAAATAAACATTCTACTATTCTAGCAATAAGATGTTTCCATTCTTGTTGGCCTGAACAATGAACATCAGAAATTGTTTTTTATCTGTTCATGAATTTTATCCTGCTAGGAAAATTATGATTCTTCTCTAATGAGCTCTGTATTTTTATATGTCGTTCTTTTCTTGCTTCTGCAACGACAACAAATGTAGGGAGGCTGGTGTGGCAGTATTGGTTCCATGGAGGAAATGCAAGCTAAAGCATTGAAAAGGCGAGAAGCTGCTGCTAAGCGTGAGAGGGCAATGGCATATGCTTTGACTCATCAGGTATATTTTTGCCTTTTTGGTGAGTACATTTGCTGTGCTGAGAAGAAGTGTATGAGTTGCAAGCTGACCAGAACTTGTTGAGTGAATTAGCTCAATGATTTAGTGCTCGAGGATCTGTTAATTATTTTTTCTTGATTATAGTTAGTTTCTTCTAAAAAACTAAAAAAATATTTTACTTGGTTATAGTTTGTTAGTCAGAGAAGTATATATGATGACCATCATGAAGGATGCTTTTGGAATGGATGCTATCTTCATAATGTATATGCTTCTTTCATTAGGTAGATGATCATTGTGTTACATGTTTGCTGAACCTGCGATTATTTGATAGATTAGCCGAAAGAAATCTGAATTGTTAGAAGGGAAATGTATATATATAGCCATATAGGTTAAGAAAAGCATGGCTATTGTGATGGATATGAAATAACTATATGTATACTGTTTATTTTTCTTGAAAAATATATTCTGTCTCTGCTACCTGTTGCGTATAAACGAGCACAAACAAATTGGAGCTCTTTACACTTAGCAGGTCATTATTGTACTAGTTTCCTCAAATCACGAATCTGAATTGATGCTCATAGCAAACTATCATTAGCATTCCATAATTACTTACAATATAAACAACAATTATTGGCCATTGGCTTATTACAGCCCTTCCTACAACTTTGTATTACTTTTCAATATCTCTTAGGTTATGAAGTCACTGACAAGTGTTTTCATCTTTGTCAGCGGCAAGCTGGTTCCAAGCAACAAAATTCTACGAGCCTGCAAGGTCTTGAACTTGGTGAGAACCACTGGGGGTCAAATTGGTTAGACAGGTGGATGGCTGTACGTCCATGGGAAAACAGGTTACTTGACTGTAATGCCAAAGAGAGTCTGCCAACGCATGAAGATAAGAAGGATGAGGAAGCAAATTCTCAGATCACACCAAAGGGTAAAGTGTCAACTTCCAATACTCCTGGTCTGAGCAAGAAGAAAGGTGTAAACCACAAAAAGTCATATTCAGATGTTAGTTGTACTTCATTTGCACGACCAGCAAATGTATTGCCATCCACATCTTTAGGATCATCCAAACAGAAGGCCAAGGTTACGGATGAAGTTTTCGAGGAAGTCAGCTCCCAGCCGACAGATATAGGTTCTAAGGTTGTGTGCAATTCAAAAGATAAGCTTGTGCAAGTGAATGCACCAGCAAAGAAGCGGTTATCCCTCCCAAATAATGGTAAACATACTGTTCTCTTAGTCCAGTTTTTTTTTAAATAAAAAAAAATTGGTGCACACAATACACTTTAGGATCCTATAGAGTAGTTTCTCGAAATGCTATTGTCAATCGTTGAGAAAATTTTCGAAGTTGTAGCTGAAAGCAACTAGAACCATCTGGAATAGGATACCTATTGGTGTAGCTTATTTGTGTTTTATTAGTTCATTCATATTCCCCCTGCTAATTTCTAGTTTATCATGCATTTTCCTCCATCAAACATTCAAACTCAACTGATGTGCTTGCCAAAAACGTATGTTTTTACCCAAGAATTTTTTAAAGCTCCTTTAAACATGGCAGTACTAAAATTAGGGTCGGATGGTTAATTTCTTAATTCCTTACTAGTATAAACATCTCAGAACACAGTAGCTAAGCAACTCTCCTTACGTTGTCATGCATCACCATCACCATCACTCCGTAAGTCTGAATTTTTATTATGTATATGCACAAACAGTTGGCAGGGAAGCAGGGAAGGGACCAACCCGCAGGAATTCAATTAACAGGTCTGGTCCAAAAGCACAGGCAGATGCTCCTAACCTGGGCGGGGAGCCTGTTGAGTTACAGGCCTGATAACACATTCCTCCAATTTGACGTTGGTAAGCCATCCTAAGGTGTGCTTATCCAGGTGTGCATGCTACATATGTTGTACATAACATTCTCAAACGACATCATGCATCTAGATCTGAGCTGCGATTCATATTTCTGTTGTGTAATGTTGTGGTGTGTTGTGCCTTCTGCCTTGTGTGTTTTTTTGTTCCGCATCGCCAATTTTCTTGTGTTTTCACCTTCCCTGTAAGTTGTTCTAACTGCTGAAAGAAGGAAATGTGCTGTGTTGTGCTTGTGCCCTGAAAATGATTACAATATAATTCATTGTTAATCCTTGATCAACGGCTCGCTGGTAGCGTATCAGCAGGTGCACACGCGCACGTACTTTAAAATTGGCATATTTTAGGACCCATGAGGGAAAATATTAGCATGCGGGGAATTATAGGAGGCATGGTTTAGTTTTAAAATGAGCTTCTTTCTTTCAAATCCCGCTTTGCATCATGGAAAGCACACCCATATTCTCTGGTTTGATAGGGCATTCAAATAACTAGCGCTTAAACAGAATACCTTTGATTGAGCAGAGGAGCTCTCTATGAGTGATTGAGGTCTCCTTTTATCAAGTGGATGTGTGTGTGTGTGGAAGTTTCTTGGGAACTGATCCTGCTTCTGCAGTTGCAGAGCACCATCCTCTGCTGGTATACCTTCGAGTGCAATCATTCAGGTCAAAGTTGCATGCTCTGCAGATTTGTTTATTTATGATTGGTCGCAAAAATGAGGGTCATGTGGTGTGTGTTCCCTCTCTGTTGGGATCATGTGGTATGTCATTGTCGTGTGCATGAGCCAATTGGTAACAAACAGAAACAGTTTGTGATCTCTGCTACTACAGTGAAATGAATAGTGGGGTGTAACCAGGTTTGAAGGACTTTCATGAAAACAGTTCACTTTCCGTGGAAACATTCCAATGTTTTAAACTGTGATTTGGAGAGTTGTTTGGGACATGGGTGCTTTTTTGTTAAAAACTTTTAGGAGTTAAGTTGGGAAACCTTTATTTATTACATAAAAAAAAACTTTGTGGCAATCCCTTGCACGTGAGAAAGTTCCTAGTACCTCCTAGTGTTGCAGCTAGGCCAGTCGTACAGACAAGAACCGTAAGGGCTTAGTTTAAACCAGGATGTAAAATTTTGGGGTGTCGTGCGGGGTGTTCGGGTACTAATAAAAAAACAAATGTATTAAACCTAATTAATTCGTTATTAGCACATGCGTTACTGTAGCACCATATTATCAAATCATGGACTAATTAGATTTAAAAGATTCGTCTCGTAAATCAGTAGCAAACTGTATAATTAATTATTTTTAGTCTATATTTAATATATTGTGCATATATCCGAGTAAACTTTAGGAGACGAACTAAACAACACCTAAAGAATCCAATGCGTCTAAGGAAGGCGACGGATCGGGTTAGGGGCGGATATCCACGGGTTTCGGGTTCTGCGGGTTCGGGTTTGGGGATGGTTTTTCACCCACGGTTTTCGGGTTCGGGGCCCCGAAACCAATCGGGTTCGGTTTCGGGTTTGGTTTTCCACCCGTGGATATCCAATGGATATCCAAAATAAATCATTTGGAATTAAAACTCATGTTTTATAATATACTAATAATAATTTGTTTACTTAGATTATTAAATTTATTTAAAGTTGACTCATGAAAATATTTATTATTTGTTGCCTCTTGTTTATACATGTGAATATGTGTATATATATCCGCGGGTTTCAGGTATCCATTCGGGTTTCGGGTATCCGTTCGGGTTTCGGGTATCCGCGGGTTTGGTTTTGGTGATGGATTTCCACCCGAGGCCCCGTTCGCTTGTCTTAAAGTTTGGCTTGTTCGGCTTGTTTTTTCAGCCGGAACAGTGTTTTTCTCTCACAACTAATTCAGCCGGAACAGTGTTTTTCAGCCAGTTTCAACCAAAGTTCAGACCAGCGAACGGGGCCCGAATCGGTTTTCGGGGCGGATTCGGGTTTCGATTTCGGGTTTCGGTTTTAGGTGCACGGAGACTCCACCCGATCCGAACCCGACCCGTTGCCATCCTTAAATGCGTCCCATATCTGTGCTGGTGCCGACCAATGAGATCGTTGAGCGCACGTCTTTGGGGCACATCAAACCAGTCAGCAGTACTTCTTTACGAACCAGCAACGAATAAGTCCAGCCAATCGAATAGGCTGACTAGTAGCTCTAGCAGTCTACCAGAGCGCTAGCTGCCTCTTTTTAAAGCCTTGCTTCGTCAATTTGCTTGTCGTCCAGATGCGGATTGAAATGTGCATGCAACCATTACCGTAGAGTTCTTTCCGAGAATGTGTGTGATCGTGGTGCTCTGGGAACAAACGGAACCAAGAACGTCTACGTAACTAGTTGGAGAGTGTGGCGCAAGCTTTCCAAAGGAGCACTGGAGCAGCAAACACGTGGCAAATGCCATGTCATTCTTGTATAAAGATGTATGAATCAGTTCTTTTTTTTTGAATGATGTTTTGTCATGGGATGGATTGTCAGAATGTACTCGTTGAAACTCAAATAAAACATTTTTAAACGTATCTACCGTTTATTAATTAGAGTGTATATATATATATATATATATATATATATATATATATATATATATATATATATGTGTGTGTGTGTGTGTGTGTGTGTGTGTGTGTGTGTGTGTGTGTGACCTAAGCCCGAAAGGCCGAAACTATATTGGTATAGTATATAATATAGAGGCCATATTTAGATTCATCATATGCTAATAGTTAACTAGCTAATACCTCATAGCCAATATTAACAACTAACTATTAATTACTATTAGCTGGTTTCATCCAACTAGTAAAATAGTTGTTAATTGCGTATTCAACTAATGATTAGCTAGACTATTAGCTAAATATGTCTATATCTTAAGAAACCTAATTATTAACAGCTAACTATTAGCTCTAGATCAAAGCCAAAAGGTAAAAAAACACGGTTGGCCGAAAATCAAATAAAACTTGAAATGAGTTGTGGTGAGACTTTGCCTTTAAGTATCTCATTCGCCGCATCTATGGACTGAAGCTCCAGTACGTAGACGGTAAGGTCATGGAGACGGAAGAAGTACAACCGTACAAGATTACAAATGTCAAAACAAGATGACGTGCTCGTGTTTGGACTGAGCCGGAATAGATGGATTATTTGTCCAAATGGGAATAGTCTGCTTAGGTCACTCTAGCTATATAGAAGTATGTACATCCCGTGTCTTTAAGACTAGTAGTACCCACGCCAGCCAATAATACAAACATAAGCTATTTGCAAATTTGATATTTCACCAATAGTTAGTTCACACAAAAAGTTTATACTACAAAAAATTTTATACATTGATTTTGTATTTAGAAATTCGTTCTAACAATCAAACTTTTGTTGCTATAAATTATATATCATAAGAGAAATTAGCGGTCAAAATATGCACTCAAGTCAATCACACCCTATACATTGGAATGGAGGGGGTATGTCATATATTTTACTTTGACAAGTAAAGTTTTTACACTTTTTTGCTGCCAGTAACTTCTAAAATGTTGTAGGCTAGAGATGAAAAGGCCATGTATATATAGAGATTTGCATGTAAAGGTATTGTCGGTGTTTTGGACCAGGGGGTCCTCAACCAACTAGTGAAAGTATACTGCGTGTTTCTAATCCCGGATGGTGATGCAAAGAGACACAATGTTTATACTGGTTCGGGCAATAGGTGCCCTACGTCCAGTCTGAGAGAGCGATCTTATATTCCTTGCACCGAGGTGCTTGTAGTAGGGGCTTACAAGCTGAGCGAGAGAGGCAGCTAGTCCCAGGTCTCTGCATGGAGTGACGTGGGTTGCTTGAGATGTTGATCTCTCGCAGTGAGGGAGTGTATGTGTTACAGAGTGTTGCGCGTTGCTTGCCTAGGTCTCTCCCCTTTCCCCTGATGCCTAGAAGCGGCCTTGGTTACTCCCTTTTATAGTCGAAGGGAGGCACAGGGGCGGTACATGCATTTGCTACGTGGTGTTTTGTGAGCGGAGGCGGCGCGTCTGAGCCCTGCAGCTTGTCACTGTGGCGGTGTGGTCGGTGGAGCGGTCTTGTCCTTCGTGCACTGGAGCGACGCGCCGGCCACGCCTGATCCTGTGCGTCGTGGGAGCTCCTGTGGCGGCAGGCGCGCCTTCTTCTGTTGGAGGCGTGCTGGTTACTGTATGTTTGACCGGCGCGGAGTGCCGAGGCCGGGTTGATGTGATGGCGCGGGTACGCTGATTCCGAGGCTACAGGAGCTAGGTCTTGTGCGCGACGTGGGAGCTCCTACAGCCTGACGCAGGGTATGGCGCGTTATGCGGGCGACGTGCCGGTCCCAAAGTGCTGACAACGTGGAGAGCCGAGGCCCAGTCGAGGCAGAGGCTGGACCGTCGTGGGGGGCTCGGCGGGCGCCAGTCCCGAGGCTACAGGAGCCCGGAAGCGGATAGCCGAGGCTCGGAGGGAGCAGTTGGTCTTGTTCATCGATTCCGAGGCTACAGGGACCTGGACTTGACTCTCCACACCGCGCTGTCCTTGGGGCAGGGATTAGGCAGCACAGTGCAGCATGGGTGTTAGCCGCGGGCACATTGTCGAGCACAGCGGCTGGTAACCCCTGCCCCGTCCTGTCCCGGACTGCATGGCGTCAATGTGACTCCTGTCCCGTCGGCCACTCCGCTGTACTGCGCTGACGTGCGGCTGGCGTTGCGGGAGTGGTTGGACGCGTTGGTTGGATGTGAGATCCTGTGAGGGAAATCGGTCAAGGCGACGGTGATGGGGTTGATGCCGAGCCGGCCTTGAGCGAGTCGGTAACTGAGTGCTCGTCCGAGGCCTCGTGGCGTGGGGCCTCGATGAAAGGTCCTTGTGTGGTTTTGGTAATTGAGTGACAACTTAGGTGGACTAATTGTGTTTATGTGAGATACACAGGTGATTAGTCCACAGGTACATGTGTGTGAGCAACATATGCCATGAAGGTGAAAATGGCTTGA